CCCTCTCTTCCCCTCCCCTTTCCCTCTCTCCTTCTCTCCCTCTCTCCTCCTTCCCCTCCCCTTTCCCCTCCCCCCCTTCCTGACTTATGGTCAGTGCCTCTCTCTGCTTCCTCTGAGTCCCTCTTGACCAGTCCTTCAGGCTCTCTGACAGCACGGGTGACTGGTTTGTCTCTTCACTGTGCAGGTAAGAAGCATTTGCTGGGGAGCATTTTCGCCCCCTCATCACCTTACCACGGGCTCCTTTGAGTCAGGTGACTGTCCTCGGCCCTGCTAGTCAGGCTCAGAGTAGAACAAACTAAACTGATGGATAATAAATACCCAGATCATGGCACATGCTCTCCCAGTGAAACCCAAAGTATAAATGTTTAGATGCTGTCCCAAGAAAAGATGCTGTTTATCTACAGTATCTGTCCCATCTGCCTTTCTTTATATTTGCCAGGATCTTGTGTCCTCCTGACTTGACTGCAGTTCAAATTCCATCCCATCCTTTAGGCTTTTTTAACCAAATGTAAGGTTTACCGAGCCTCACTAGTTGAAATTGGCTAAATTTCTATGTGTGCCAGGCAATGTACTGGGCACATTGTTTATAATTCATTTGAATTGTGTAAGAGCCTTCCTTCTCGGTAAAAACGATTACCTCCATTTTATTACAAGGGATCTTAGCGTACGTAACTTTCCCCATGACACAAGGCTCTGAATTCTTGGGCTAAGAAGATTTTTATTAGCAATCATCAGTGTATTTTTGAGCAGTTTACATTACATTGTTTAAATTAATCTTCCCAGAATCCTGTGAGGCAGTATAATCCTCACAGTCATCTTAGAAAAGGCACAAGCCAGGCCTGATGGTGTGTGCCTGTAATCCCACTGCTTGGGGAGGCTGATGCAGGAGGATCATCAAATCAAGCCCAGCCCAAGCAATTTAGCAATTTAGTGAGGCTCTGTCTCAAGATACAAAAAATTAAAAGGTGCTAGGGGTGAAACTCAGTGGGGAGGCCTTGGGTTCAATCCCAAGTGCTGAAAAGAAAGATGAGAGAGACAGAGGGAGAGGGAGAGGGGAAGGCAGGCAGCTGGGCACAAGAAACTAAGTCACTTTCCCCAGCCACACATCTAATAAATGGTAGAGGAGAGATTCCATATCGTAGATCTTTCTGATTCTCCTCATTTCCTCCTCTGCTTTTATACCTCAAAATCTGACTGGCTTCATCTCACTCGTTAGTGAGATAACCCCTGGTCTATAAAAATATAAAGGATTTATTGTCCTTCTCTTGATGATTCCTCATTATGGGGAGGCATTTTTCAGATGCTTTTACCATTTTAGTGATAGAATCTTTCACAGCCTTTCCATTATTTATGGCACTAGGAATGGGACCAGGGCCTTGGGCACACTAGGCAAGTGCTCTACCACTGAGCTCTATCCCTGTCTCCTTCTGCAGTCGTTTTTTTTTTGGCTGTATTTGTGCATCAGATGTTTCATTACTGCTGAACAATAACAAACCCACGCGGAACGCATTCCAGGCCCTTATGGTTTTACAGCGCGAAGGATGTGTTTTTCTCTGCCACTCTAGCCCTAGTTTGTCTTGGCCGGCACCACTGGGAGCTGGAGTTCTCCGGGTGAACCTAAGTTTGAGCCGCGGGGCTCCTGTGTTGTGCATGAATTATTCATCAAGCTGGGACCCAAGACTGTGGAGCAGCTGTGGGCCTCGGCCTGCTCACTCACCGCCCAGTGCCCGCCCAGGACCTTGTTAAAGTCTCAGCCTCCTCCACCCCTCCTCTGGCCTTCGTGAAGCTGGGAAAGGGGAAGGGGGACTTGCAGCCCTTGGCCTCCCGGAGAGAATTAGCAAACTTGGAGAAGGGAGAAGGGGCACGGGACGGAGGCCCAGAATAGCCTGATTTGCATGAGAAAAGAGCAAGATTGAAGGCTGCAAGAGCTTGGCTTCTAGCCAAGGGGAACCCCTGGAGGGAGGGGGGGGTGCGGG